TGGCATTTAAGTAGAACCCAAATGGAAATAAAGGGGGAATCACAGTGAGCAGCAAATAGAAGGCTTTATGGAAAGAAAAAGCCTGGTATAGTCTACACATTAATTAAAAGCTAGTATGAGCAAGAAGAGAGTCCTACAATGGAATTGAGGAAGTGGGGGACTGCTATAGTATGGAGTTTGAATTTCCTATTCTACCATGAAAATAGCAAAAACAGTGTGAACAAACAGAATTTGGAGGAAGATCTAATAGTGCTTGGGGAACTGAATGGAGATGGGGGGAAATACAAATAAGAAGTTAACACACATCTAGATTTTTAAAAAAGTCATTTCTAATTTGGCTAAATGAAATGGTCATTAGCATTGATCTGTTTTATTCCGTGACTTGTTTACTTGTTACTAATTTACATTTAAACCTGCCATGTTGATAATGTCCACTAGTGGCAGTAAAGCTTGAATATCAAAAGCAAATAAGTGGATGGATAGTTACCTGTGAAGCAGAATGGAGGTCTTGAGCTAACTCATCCTATGATTGAATGTACTTTTCAGCATGACAGGTTTTCAGGGACATGGAAGAGTATCACTCTAATTACGCTGTTTTCTTCTCACTTTCTCATTATGTCAGGTCATTGGATAATTTTTGTATTTGTCATACTTTCTGTTTCATAGGTGGTTTTAACTATTTTCTTATTGTAGTAAATAGTAACTTCCTTTGGGAATCCCATGGCTGTATGTGATTGCCGTAGCTCTAGTGTCTCAGATTTGCTTTGATTTAAAATCATATATTATTAAATATGTTGAGTAATCTTTGTGATGAGTAAATTTAAAAACAAAACCCAGCATCACAAACTAATTGATGAATTGTTAACTGTTTCCAGTGTGAAGTCAGTATACCTTGCAAATTATACTGTCCTGATGAGGAGCAAGTGCTTTTGTAGCATTGTCTAAATAGTTTCCTAGAAACTTGCTTTTTTGTCTTTGAATGAAGAAAGAAAAAGACATTGGGTACAAGTATAATCTTTGAAGCTAAAAATTACTGAAGAACCTGATTCCTATTTAATATATAAATGTTTTTACCAAGCAGTTTTACTTTAGACTTGATGGTAAATACACTAGAATGCTGAATGTGCTTTTCCAATAATTGTTCCAATAAAAGTTACTTCCTCTCCCTGAGTACCTTGTAGTGTTTGTAGTTCTACTAAATATTTGTATAGCTGTTTTATGTATCATATATACATTTAAATGGTCTATTAAATTGGAATTATTTAGTTTATCAATGATCTTTTTTTTTACTATAGATTGGGTCTTTATTTATGTCTAATTTGAAATGGGTATACTACATTTCTGTGAACCTGAGTAGCTTAAGCCAAGTCATCAGGCTTAGACTTAAACTCTCTTCCCTTCCCATGACTGTCTTCCATTTCTGATCTTGATCTTGGTGATTGCTGAGAAGCCTGAAGGAGAATGGAGATGATTTTAATGCCAGTCTAGTGCTGCTACTGGGAAACCAGTTCTAGGTGCAGGCTTGTCCACCTAACAGATAGTCAATGGTATGTATACCTTTTATACTAGAAAGTAGTTATTTCACAAATTCTGGTCATAATTATTATCCTGCAAACAAAAGTCACTTATTTTTAGCACCTCCTTGTCTGAGTATGCCACCCTTTCATGTTTGTGTGTCTGTGGATGTGTGGATATGCATGTGTCCACTTGTCCCCTCCAACTCTCTACCACTCTTAGGGACTTTGGAATCCCGAGTAGGTGGGCTGTGTGATCATGGGCTGTGTGATCAAAGTCAAGGGAATTGGCTATAAGGTCACAATTTTTTGGTGAAATCCTACTCCTTGGAAGTTGTTGTAATGAGGCTCAGCAGTCTTTCTCAAAGCATGGGGCCATACAGTTTAGAAACCAATCATGAGGTACTCTTACCTGCCTTGAAGAGTTAAGGTGAACCTCTGAAACTGAGAAGGCTTTGTGTAAATCTATTGTCTACCTAATCACTAGAGTCCTCGGTCTACCTCCAAGATTGGATAAGCCTATCATTGGGAAGGACAGCAAGAGTCATTGAATAAATGTGGACAAATGGTTGAAATGAACAGAGGGAGGAGTGGTTTTCAATGAGCAGAGATTGTGTGCAAGAAGGGAATGCACTAGAAGGGGAAAGTGGTAGAAACTATTGGATTAAGTCATTGAAATAAAGAATTCCTCTTTTTATAGGCTGACTTCTTTGCAGGTTTACTCTTCATTTTCTAGAGCTAATACCCCTCGGAAGCACTGTATCCTTATCCCTTTTTTAAGGAAGTAGAAGTAGGTACTTACCTGCTTTAGAGCTGGGGTACTGTAGGAAGTCCCCTGTTACTCCTGCTGTTGTCAATTGCATATACAGGCACTGTCTTACTTGAGGGAGTTCTGGGAATAAATGAATTTGATATAATAGTTTTAATTTTTTTCATACAAAAATTCTCAAGTTCAAAGATTTTATAGATCTGAGTGAGATATTGCCTATACAATGTTACTTCTGTTTAGAAAGTCCAAAATATTTCTGGCTCTTGTGTCATATGACATCAAACAACTGTTTTGCCTGAATTGACTAATGTTTAGGACATAGATTAAAGACAGCCTGAGACCCAACCTGAGCCATTAACTTCCAGATGCTCATGATTTGCAGAGAAATGTTCTGTGCCTATGGTTATTACTGAGGTGGCTCCTTAAATGCTCTCATCTTGGCACCTTTTGCACTTGCTAAATTCAATTTGAAGAAAGAACAGGAGAGAGAGCATTTTGTGGAAAGTAATTATCCAGCACTTTTGTGACCTTCATGTTTCCCCCATCATGATGAATTTTTGGGCTGGTTTTTATATCAGTCAGCATGTCCTGCTCTCTTGAATTTTGTTGTATGTTACAGGTAACTAGTTGTATCTAATTAAATAATAATGATGGCACTGTGAGGCCCTTTTCTGGGAATTAATGACCAGCTGGGAAAAGCTGATGGATGGAGAGTCAGCCAAAGGCTATTAGCTTCAGTCTGCTATTAATCTTCAGATATGCTAATTTGTGATGTCATTGTTGGAATTGAAAAATAAAAATTGGAGACAGTTTACATATGTTTATCATGTACTTCTGAATAGCAAGTTCCCTATGTATTATAAAAAGTTATTATTTTTCATTCTCTAACTGTTCTTTAATCTAAAAATATGATTCTTATATACAGTGCATGAAAATAGAATTTCTCAGATGGGTGTTCCTTTCTTTTAAAAAAATGTTCCAAGTTTGGGAAGTTTTCTTTAAATATTTTGGGTGGTTAAACCAGCATTTTTCTTCAGCTGTGATGCTGGAATTTGATAAGTGTCTATATTATCATAAGTATCTGCTCATGGCAGGAAATGGTCGCAAGTGTTTATGAATAGCAGCTGTTGCTAGCAAAGATGTTCATTCAGTGCAATTCTAAGAAGTTATAATCACATTCCTAGTAGATGAAGGGGACTCTCTGCCAAGAAAAGCTGTAGTGGTGTATCTATATGAAATTTTTTTTATTACTGCTGCTGAATGCTAGAGGAAAATAAAAAGAAAAATGACTAAAATATTCATCAGCTTCTTGCATAATTTAATGACTTACAAAGGAAGACAACAATTTCATATACAGGCTAGCTATCTAAAACTTAATCCAAACTCATAATACTAATTTAAAAGTTATGTTGGTTTTTATATCATTTTTACCCCAAAGTGAAAGAAAGCTCTTAAAGCCCATTAAGATTCTAGCCAATAGGTTAGGAATGTTACACTAAACACAGAAGCTTCCGATCTGATTTAAGTCACAAGCTGTTTATATTCCCTAAACACCACAGCATTATTCTCCCCATTAGAAGTTTGTTGATGGTACCAGTCTTCTTAAATGCATATTTAGTGTATGCATTTGGGGGAATAGAATGAATCAGCAAGTCACTAATCACAGCTCTTGGAGGCACTGACTCACTCCTGGCAAAATGGAATGTCCTCTTTGGGAAGGGTGAAAAAAAGAGAAAATTTGTCCCTGTGTCAGTTCCCTGTTTCTACGAATGCAGATCAAATGTGCACCTCCTTCGGTGGTTGGTTATCAGGCTAAAGAATGTTTTGCAATGGACACTGTAAAACCAGACATCTGTACATGCAGGGGAAAATTACTATAAATTCATAATAATGCTTAGGAAATTGACAAAGGTCCTATAAAGGAAATGTGGGCTGAGGGGGGCTTGGTGTATTTCTATGGCCAAAAGTAATGAACCAGGCCCTGCTCTTCCACAATTCAACAAGATTGGTTTTTGATCCAGTGTTGATTACTAGGCTCTCAATTGGGATTTATTTTCATTAAGGGGTTTTCAATATCTGAGGAATATTTGCAAGGGCCCTAGTTTTCTTTGGAAATAAAAGAGTGAGAGCAGCACCCTTAAATTTTCTGTCAGACTCAGTATATACTGCATGGATGTCATATTCTTGCCAGCAGAAGAGCAAGGAAAGAGAAGTAAACTGATAATTGGTGGACAATGGCCAGTGTCACCTGTAAATTCAGGAGTGGGGAAAAGTAGGTTTACACTTGTGGGTATGCAAAACAAGAGTTTATTATTTATTATTGTATTGCTTACATATGAATAACTTTCCCCCATCCCTATATTTATGCTATATCTCAAATCGAGACATGTGAGCTCTGTATGGTGTTTATTTAGATACAATATAGTTAATGGTATTAAAATATTTTATTTCACTCCAGGCATAGTTTAACACTGTTACCTACCTTTTCATTGTACCGGCAGTAGAGGTCTCTGTAGTTGAGTAAGCTATTCCCAACCCTTTAGTATTTTAAACAAAGCCCCTAAAAATAAAATGGACAAGCTATTAAATGCTTTTCTTTGGAACTTTTTGGGGGAATGTTGTTTCTTTAGTCTTCCCTGGGAGTAGAGTTGATTTAAGACGTTCGCTGCTTTCATGAAGCTCTAACTTGAGTTCATTTTGTTATGTGGTGACCACAGTTCTGGATGACGCCCCTCCTGGCACACAGGAATACATTATGTTACGGCAAGATTCCATCCAATCTGCGGAATTAAAGAAAAAAGAGTCCCCCTTTCGTGCTAAGTGTCACGAAATCTTCTGCTGCCCGCTGAAGCAAGTACACCACAAAGAAAACACAGAGCCCGAAGGTTTGTGAGCGACAGACGCGTGTTTTGCTTGTTTTCTCTTATTCTTTCTTTCTCTTTCTTTTTGACTGTGCATTGCCCTCTAGTGTGCTGTTAGGCTCCCGAAATAATTAGGAGGCCTCCTGGTTTGTTGGTGAATGTGTTATGCAGTCTCAGATGGGACACTGTATAATGCAGTCATCTCTGGCACAGCACACAGCGTCCTCCTGCTTCTCATAGCTGAAAGGTTTTCAGCTGGTGTCAATACACTGACCCGGTTTGGCTGCTAAAGTTGCTTGCACCTGGAGCCAAAGTCTGACCCAGTCTGTTTCCATCACCTGGCATTCCTGAAGCAGCAGTCGGCTGAGGAATGGCACTTCAAAAATGAAATAATACTCTCTTCCACTCCATAAAGCTTTTGCATTGCGCTGGAAGAATGCTCGTGATCTACTTAGTTTGCTAAAGCAGGCCCAGACTTGTCATGTAATGCACGCCCTGAAATGCATGCCTCAAGGAAACAATGAGTAGTTTGTTTTTCTTTTCAGCTCAACCACAGGTTTGGAAAACTCTACCTGATATTCTTTAAACTGAGTTCACAGTATTCCTTGCAATCCATGCAATAAACCTATCTCTACAGTACCTGGTTTCCCCAGAAAGAGTATCTCCCGCCCCACACACTTTTCTGCATAGGTCAAACAGGAACATTTTTTACATCACAAAATGCGGTAATATTCTTTGCCAGCTGTGTATATTTCAATTTCCAAAATGACATTTGAGATGTGTACTATAGATGATAATTAAATGCTTCTTGGAAAACAGCCTACCACCCATCCCACACCCCCATCCATATAAAATAGTATTGAAGCAGTTTACCAATGAATAACACTGGAAGTGACTAATTTCACTTGTCCTATGGCAGTCGGTGTAGACTTTTGCATAAACGGTTGTGCTCCAATTTTTAAAAGCAACCTTGTTCCCATTTCAAGTTGCCCTTTTGTAACATTATGGGTATCTTCAGTACAACTGTCTTTTTGATTTGGAAAAGACTACCATCCATATGGTGATGTTCAAAGTTTGGTGTGTAAGAAAATTATTCCACATCAACTCTATTCCATAGTTTTGGAAGCACACTTTTATATCTCAAAGTCTCCCCTTCTCCTTCCTTCCAAATAGAATTTTAAATGTTTATTGGCAGAAAATGAGAAGTGTATATTTCTCATTTTTTTATTTCAACAATAGAATTTGCCTATTTTATTTTGCCCATATTTTGATATACAAGCTATATCCACTTTGGGTATGAGTTCTCATGTCAACACTTATTTATCTGAAGCTGTAAATGGAAATCCTTTACAGTGAGTAAAAGAAATCTTTTGTTGATTTAGTAGAGAAAATACTAACTTGCATTTGTGTGCTAATGGAACAAAAAAATTAACCAGTGACAATTACTTTACTATATATAATGCATTCCAATTTGTTCTGCTTTCTTTTCTCTAAAATTATGTGTGTATATTTGCAAGTACAAAACAATATCTATATTATAGATATATACTGATTATTATATAATTATGTAACAGTTAGAACATCAGCCTGAAAAAAATAAAATTTGGCTTGACTAAAAAAAAAAATGTCATTTAAGAAGCAGCTGGTTAAATTCAGTCAAACAATTGGTTAGAAATTTCAAATTGTTTTAACAATACTCAAATTCTATAGAGAACAGTTGAATAAATTTCAATCCCCATCCCTTTTCTTATTGCATATAATTTTGACAGGATCTATTGATTTACAAAATATTATCTTGAGTGTATTGCTAATACTATTAGTAATGTTTTCAGATCCAAAAAATTACTTTGAGAATAGGTAACAGTTAAACTCTCTTATATAAGTTTTGGATAGTTTTAGTCTGTTGTTCCATCCACAAGTTGAGTGGCTGCCATCCTTTCACGTTTAATACTTTGATGATGGGCATTTAGTCTTTTTTTTTTGACTGAAGATTTTCCTTAGTCTTGCTCTCCTGCCAGGTCCACTGGAATAGCAAAGCTAACTCCGTATTCCTCATTATGAGATATTTGTAAATAGTATTGAGGTTTTCTAGGATGACATTTACAATTTTACTGTAACCCCTTCAAACAAAGGCACAGAAGCTAATGAAACCACTTGATCTCTGTACAAATTATCAAGACACAGAAGACCTTAGGTGGGGGCAAAAGAAAATTTTCTGGGGAAGAGATGTCAGATAAGGAAACGTTGCTAAGAAATTAACATGCTTACTTCACGTATGGTACCAAAGCTCATCATTACCAGGAAGTGAGATAACTGTGGGTTTCAAAGGGTTCCATGGCCATTCTGGTGACCTGGAAGATTTTTGCAAGATTAATTTTTAAATACTATAAGGTACAGTCTTCAGTTCTCTCTTACATTTGCTATAATGCTTTATTATACTTGGCATAAATGGTTGTGATACAATTTCAAGTACAAGTGAATATAATCTTAGTTCTAAACTATGCCCATACCTTGACACATTTTATTCTCATGGTAAGCATTTAAAGAGAGTTCCTTTCACTGTCTCTGTGCCCAAGGATGAGACCTTAAAAAATCCGATTTTACTGCAAGTGAAGGCAATGGACAGGATGTTGAATCTACCCATTGCTTGCTGTGTGCATGCCAAACTATCAGCATGACCTCTTCAAAATAAGTTATGTTTATACAGCCCTCATATGAAAAATGTAAAATATATTTAAATTTGGGAGGAAAGGACTATTTTGACTTGGATGTCTTTGAAATAATTAAATTAGGTAAAAGAGGTTTGTGTGTACTTTGATAAGACTGGAATTAATTTTCTTCTTACTGAATTGACAAATATACCAACTTCTTTTGCATTATTATAGATGAAATATTGATATTTATTTTGGTTGGTAATATTTTTAAATATATTTTATTGATTTTTTACAGAGAGGAAGGGAGAGAGATAGAGAGCTAGAAACATCAATGAGAGAGAAACATTGACCAGCTGCCTCTTGCACACCCCCTACCAGGGATGTGTCTGCAACCAATGTACATGCCCTCGACCAGAATCGAACTTGGGACCTTTCAGTCCACAGACCGATGCTCTACCACTGAGCCAAATCGGCTTCGGCTGGTTGGTAATATTTTTATAAGGGCCAGGTAATTTCCATAGTTTATGACCACCTGAGATTTAGTACAGACAACTTATTTAATATTGTTCACAGTCATCTGTCTTTTTATTTTTTAATTTTTTATGTATTTTATTGATTTTCTACAGAGTGGAAGGGAGAGGGATAGAGAGTTAGAAACATTGATGAGAAAGAAACATCAATCTGCTGCCTCCTGTACATTCCCTACTGGAGATGTGCCCAAAACCAAGGTACATGCCCTTGACCAGAATCGAACCTGGAACCTTTCAGTCCACAGGCTGAAGCTCTATCCACTGAGCCAAACCGGTTTTGGCTCATCTGTCTTTTTCAAGACATTTTTGAGGGCCCTCAGAATTCATGTAAAACATTACATAAAATGAGTTATATATCTTGCTTTTCAGGATACACTAAGGCCAAATTACGTTTTGCTAAAAACAGGCTTCTATTTCTGAGAAGCCAATTCTAAAATAACATATATTCTGATCCAAATGCTTGTGATTTTCACTGTTATGATTATTGTCATAAAAATCACTTATGATGTAATCTTATCTGAGTACTGGGATTTGGCTGAAGAAGCACATACAAATATCTGAGAGTCTAATTTGGCCTAGTACCAACCAGCAGCTGTCTTTGTTATGAGAAAGCCACATGGAGAGTGGAAATCATTACTAAAATCTTTTCCTTACTGTTCCAGGAACCATTTGGCAAGAGAAACTATAATTATCAGAGCTGTATTCTTTTATTTATTTTTTTCTTTCATTGTCATGTGTGACAAAAGGAAATCAATGATTAGAGTAACTTCTCAAAGTCAATCTATTAGCAGCATAGTTGCTAATAATAAACACTTGTCATTGGGCTTTTACTGATGTTTAAAAATTGTGCAAAAGAATCACACCATGATATACATGCTTGCATGTGATTACTGTTGAAAATCTATGGAGAAAATTAAATCATGGATTCCTAGCATTTGCTTTTGAATTGGATATCCTGATTATAATAGTAAATTTGTACGAGTTAACATAACATAGGAAAATATTACAGAGCTCAGGGATTTGTCACCATCTTTCAATTAATCCTTTGGCTTCTTTTGTACAATCTTGTTTTCATGTGATTTAAAACACACACACACACACACACAGATACACACACACACACAAACACACACACACACACACACACACACACACACACTCCATCTCCTTCAGGACATCCTTAACCTTTTTTATTCAAAGAGGCATCCAACCATAGTGACTTTGGTTGGAGAAGAGCATTTGTGCTCCAGACTGGTGATGAAGTATATCAGCTTTTCAACCAAAATAAAGCAAATTTCTGTCCCAAATGTTAAAAGGGCATGTTTGTAATTAGCACGATGTCTATTATTTTATTAATGCCATGTTTTTTTTTATCCCAGAAAGAGAATGTATCACCATATATATATAAATCTTATCTAAATGGTAGGAGAGAAAGGAGGTAGAAGAATATGAAGGAATATGCTGAGGAAAATATTTTTATTTTCATCTTTACCTTATATTTCAACTATCTTTTCTTGTCATGTGTCTATTTAATTTTAGTACAAATTTACCTTTTGAGAAAATGGAATTAATTCTATTTAAATGAATAGCCAGTCCATACAATGAAGCAACCTCTAATATTTGATACCTGAAAATGTTTTGACTTTCAGAAAAGATATAACTAGTTTCCAAATCTGAAGAATTAAGGGGCTATTTATAATTTATTAGGAGCACATAAGTCCATATGTTAGGGTGACTCTGAATAGAAAAAATACTTTATTCTTAACCTTTTAATTTAAAAATAACTATTAATTTAAAATAACTACTAATTTAAAAATAATCCAAGAAGAACAAAGATGGT